GGGTCCTGGGCTAGGCTGACCGGCCTCTCGGGATCCCCCAAACCCCCCAATTACCCTGGCCGAAAACCCGCAGCCTTGTCAGCGGACCTGAGTGCTGACCGCCACATCTGCCGGGGGGCAGATGTTTGAGATGCGGGCTGTGTGGGAGAAATCCACTGCCCAGCGCCATTGCTAAGTTACCTGGGAAGGAGGAAGAGGGTCAGCGGCAGGCTCAGCTGCCAGGGCAGCCCGGGCCACACACAGCCACATGCAGCTGCCAACTGCCCTGCTGGATGGGACCTGGTTTCAACTTTCTCCCCCAAGGCATCGCCATAGCATTACCTTCACTGACTCATTGCAGCCATTCCGCATGAATTTCACGTAGAAACAAACAAACTTGCCCACCAAGAGCCCCCGTTACACAATTTGATGAAAGGACACTTTGCAGGAGTGGGGGCATGTCTCCCTGCAGAGTCCCAGGAGGCCCCTGACGCAGTCGGGCCTCAGAGGCACAGGATGTCTGGCTGCCCGGCACTCCCACATCCAGACTCCTGAAAGGAGCTAGCCACCAAGACAGAAGGAGCAACGTTCAGACATGATGGGACCCATAGTGCCTTCCAGGTGGTTCTGTCCCCAGGGAGGCTGTAAGCCTTGTCAGCTCTGTGGGCTCTGTGCCCTGTCCCCAAGCACATGGCTGGCTCCTTCACAACAAGGCGGCTATAGGAGTCAGGTTCTGGTGCTGCCTCTCTCATCTCTGCTTCCAGGATACCCGCACGAGCTCCCACCCAGCGCACACCAGGCTGTGTGTGGATGGTCTGTTGACTGCCTGGGTCCCCTACCTACATCAGACCAGGAGTGTCTCAAAGGCAGGATCAAGTTTAACTTATATTTGCATCCCCAGCACGTAGGACAGTGCCAATAGATGATCAATAGACAGATATTTACTGAACGAATGGATAAATCCATCAAGCCAAGAATATACGTACTCCACGTAACCTTAAGCAATGGAAACCCTCTATTTCCTAATTTGTAAAAAGGAAATGGTAATGATGACCTCACAGACTTGTGTGGTTCAAAGAAACCGCATGGCAATTTTGGGCACAGTGTGGTGCTCCCCAAATGTGAGGGCATGTCATTCTCTCTGAGGTAGGGCAGTGGGGCACCCCCCACAAGTTATCATGTGACCACTGCCTCCTAGACGGGCATTACCCTCATGCCTACGAGCACGGCCTGCACACCCCAGCTCAGGACTCAAGCTCACAGGTGGGATTTGCCCAGTGGTTATTTGGAGAATGTGTACTGAAAATATCCACTCCGTAATGTAGCTAAAACCTAATTTGTATTCACAGGCTGTCAATGAAAGACAGCACAGACCAATCACTGATGTATCTAAGAAGCTATAAAGAGAAAAGTGTTATCAGCTGAAGAACGTAGAAGGGGGCATAGCAATGGGACTTTCAAAACCATGTGTCTAAAAGCTTAGCCCCGTTAGTCATCACAGCCCAGTATCTATGGAAACGGTCCTCAAAACAGACAGTCCGCCGGGCTCTGCAACCCACTTGCCTGCCCTCATCTTCCTACCCGGAGATGCAGCCTCCCCTGGTTTGCAGGACCATTCCAGACAGAGACAGGAGGCATCTGGGAAGCTCCAGCCTGACGCCAACCAGGGCTCCTGTCCTGTGGCAGGGCAGGAGCAGAGGCAAGACCAACGCCATGCCCGTCCATGCCACAAGACACCATCATCATCACACAGCAAACAGTGACGGCTTTGCTTTCTGCCACCATCCCATTAAATATTAACTTCAGGGAATCCTTGCTGAGGGAATGACCCCAAAGACCAGAGAAGGCTCTGCGTTCAAGCCACTGCATATAACTTGTGTAACAGCAAGCTTCTCAAGACAACGGAAACAGCCAACAGCAGAACAAGTAGGAAGTTATCTAGCATCCATTTGGTGAAATATGGTGAGGTCTTTAACAGCAAGTGTAAGATATGTTTATAACACAGGAAAGTTTACGTTTCACCAAGTATAAAAAAGAACACAGAAGTACAAATGCAGTATGATCATCTCTATGAAGAAAATTTACATTTGGGGATAGCAAAAAGACAGAAATGCACAAAAAGGAAATGAAATAGAGGTTATTTGAAGGGTGGGAAAAGGGTAATTTTTCTCTGTCCAGTTTTTCTGATTTTTCCTAGCTTTCTACAATGAGAATATATGATTTTTATGAAGTGATCCAGTGGAAGGGTCAAGACTCCAGTGTGAAGAAATCCGTGTTTGAACCTGGGTCCATTACCTCACAGCTGGGCTGTGCTGGACAAGACCCACTGGGCCGAACCACCATGTCTGCATTGGGAGGAGGGAGATGTGCAGCAAGCCGGGGCTCAGAGGGGACGATGCAAGTCCTTGCATCTCATCTCACCTGGCACATGACACACACTTGCAAAATGGTTAGGCTTTATCTTTTTCAGCTGCCCACGTGAGCCTGCTTTAAATCAAAGAAAGAACTCTGTCAGTGGAGGCCAAGGAGGCCGACATCTGGAAGCTCAAGACGACCTGTCAGGCAAGCGAGGGCCTGCCCGGGCCAGGCAGCCTGTGCAGTGGGATCTGCACCCCCTGAGGTGAGGGGGCTTCTGGGGAGCTGCAGATGTAATTCATCCTCTGGGGGGCCCTAGAAGAATTGTTAGGAGAGCCCACGTCATGGTGTGGGGCCCAGGGAACAAGACAGCCCCAAGGCCCTGCTTAGAGGTGAGGAGCCGCAGGCCCCAAGATGTCAGATCCACCACAGAGGCGACAGGGAGGGTGTGAGGTGACGTGAGGGAGTCCAGGGATGAGGACCCTGCCCCACTGCAGATGGACGGTGGGCTAGGGGGGCCAGCACCGGGCAGGAGGGAGGCAGACAAAACTCACCGCCGTCTCCCATGGGCCACCACGCTGGAACTGTGCTCACAACAGGGGTGAGAAAGCCACCTCAGAAATCCAAGTTCACACAATGCCCATGTCATGATCTATAGTCACATATTCATTTCACAAAACAGCTCAAGAGCCTTAAAAATGTTCATGTCTTTTGACTGAGTAACTCCAAAACTAGAAAACTGATCTAGTCAGAAAATCAAACAAAAACTTGTGTGTGAAGATGTCCCCTAGAAACAGCCAGATACGGTAACAGTTAAATTCATCATGACCCCTGATCAGGAAAATATTATGCAGTGTCTCTGGAGAATGTTTATGCCATAAAGACAGGAACTGGGCCGCAGCAGGACGCCGCTGGGAGACTGAAAGTGTAGCACTGAACTGCCTGATTGGCTGCCAGGAGACGGCTCACATCCTCCCGGCAAGGCCTCTCGCAGAAATGCCTTTCAGATCTTAGTTTTATTTTTTAAAGTCACGCATCTTCTCCAGGATAAAATTATTAAAACCTGCATTATTTGCCAACACACTGGTGTGCAGGTGACGTGTGACTGAGACAACTGACGATCATTCACGGCTGCCAAACAGAAAAGGGAAGCATCTGCAAGGAAACCAAGGCCAACACAGCAAAGGAACCTCCCGGTGGTCTCCAGATGAGTCAGACCCTCCTTGGGCTCACTCCAGGGCGTGGCTGCAGCATGACTGCTCATGCCTTGGGGAATTTATTTCTTTTGAGTGACACAACACATTAATACAAGTTTTATTTCATTTTGTGTCATAGGGCCGGTTCCCTGGGGCCTGTCCCAGCCCCAGGGGCAGGAGGGTCTGGGCGTCTGACCCTCCTCAGCTGCCCACATCTGGTGGAAGCAGCTGACTGTACCCAGGTAATCGCGAGATATGACACTCCAACCCAGAAAAGTGTCAGGCCTGAGGGAAGCCCCCAGAGGTGCAAACGGTGAATGGTCTGCAAAAATACCACCCCCTTCCTTCCGTCCAGGCTGGGTCAGCGGCGGGAGGGGGATTCCACACAAGGAGCCACCTGAGTGTAGAAAGCAGTCCACTCACAGCTGTCCTGACGGCCGCTCATGGACTCCCCACAGCCCTCACCTGTGGGAGCTGGGGGCCCCGCAGAGGGGAGAAGACCCCATGCAGTGTGAGGGGGTCTCACAAACTGATGGGCAAGCAGGGAATGCCAGGAGAAAGGTTTGTTTTCTTCTTTAAGCCCCTGGGATAATTTTCACGTGTCTCTAGCATGCAAAAGGGGGAGATTAAGCTTATTAATTAACTGAAGAAAAGACCAGATACTAATTTACAATGATTTCTGGGGTAAAGAACAGAAAGAAGATACATATGTGTTAACAACCAACTATTTACATTTGATCCCAAATAGATTAAACAATGAAATTGTTTCCAGAGAATAATAAAACCTCTCACTTCAATAAAAATACTACATTTAGTTGGTTTCTCAACAATATATTTTTGACTGCTATTTAGAAAGGCCCAGACTGGAGTAAAAGTTCCTGGGTGCAACAGGAAGCAAATGTTCAAATACATTGTTCTAAGCGTTAAGTAAATCATGGTATCTCTCATGGGTTGACTGCCAAAATGAGTTCAGTTACCCCACACACACTCTTTCACCCTGAAAATGTGAAAAGCTTCACAGCTCATCCATGAGAGTGAAGTAAGAGCAAGGAGGTAACCCCGCCTCGTTCTATTCCACCACCCCACTCACGCAAGATCCAGAAACGTCTGCAGAAGACACACCCATCTGGACACAGTCAAGTGCCACGGTGAAGGACCGCAGACTCTACAGCAACTGGAACCCAGGAGGTATCTCAACATCCTTCACCACATCTGCGTTTTGAGGGCACTGAATCCTTTCAGTTTGTGCTGACAGGACACACCTGAGGTGCCTAGGTGGCACCAGACACAGAACCGCCTGTGGCCAGTCGGCCGACACAGATGCCAGCACGTACAGACGCCAGCACAGTGTGGTGAGCTCCTCTCCACACAAGGTTTCCCATGACGACCTCAGCACGTACCGCCAAGAACATACTTGCACATTTCGAGAAAAGAAGCCTGTTCACCCAGAGGTGACTGGCGGGTACTCACCCCACTGCAGAGGAGCCAGCTGCAGGTGCTCCAGGACCAGCTGGTTCAGGAGTCCTTCCACGCTCGCCTCGCCTGTGCGCTTCAGAGAGGGGTGAGCCTCGGTCAAGGAACATTCGGCCTCTGTTGAGCCCCAGGGACAAGAGAAGTTCTAGAAGTTTCTAGACAGAGACTAGGAGATGGGAAACCACCCACAGTGGATATATGTCCCCCTCTTCTCAGTGATGGTCTAACCAACCACTAAGACATCATCTGAGTGTGTGGAAAATGGGCATTTAAACATATCAAGTACCTCTCCTCCCTCACCCCAAAACCTAGAAAATTAAGGTATGTTATGTAAGGAAGGGAAATCCACTGGGATAATTCTAATCCAACAGGTATTCTTGCTGGGGGAAAAAACAAAATGGAAGGTTGTTTGTCGTTAACAAGGCATGCAAACTGTGGCTCACTGTTCAACACGACTGAGTGCGTTTTTCAACACGTGTCGGTTTCATGCTGGTTTCATGTCTGTCATGTTATACATCTTGAAATAATTACACATATTATTACGAATGGGCTCACTTACGCGAGTTCATAATCGAGGAAGTGATAAAGTCTCTCAGCAAGTATCAGTGGATGAAGAAATTAGGTTTAGAAATGCAGAAAATAGAAGTCTCCCAGGCGCTAATATTAAACAGTCAATGCGGTTTTCAGAAACAAATTTGTAAACCTCTTTTCCTTTTCCTACATAAATTATGGCCACTGGATTTAAGTTGCAATCAAAAGGGAAGAATTTACTTCCTGACATTCTCTAGAGATAGGGGAAGTAGGGAAAAAGCAAACCCCCTTTTTTCTTCCTTTAGCAAGTCAATTGCATTCAACAAACACAAAGTGTGTGTGAAGTGAGACAGGGATGGTAAGAAGCACTGAGGACACTGAAATGATCGGACAGAACCGTGAACTTGAGAGGCTTACATTCCGCTGAAGACGACAATATAGAATCGGACACTTGCATTCACCAAGGCTGAGGACAACTGTGTCGGGATGAAGCCATGCGGGTGGAGCAGAACGGGTGAGGCTGGGAATGAGGGGGCACCGGGGCCCCAAAGGAATAAAGACAAGAGCTCCCGGTCAAAGGGCCTGGCATGGCAAGGATTCACTGTAGTCATCAGCTGGCTCAATGGGGGCGTCTGGGTGTAGAGGCACCGAGCAGAGCGAGAACATCATCCCCTCAAACAGTCCAGCTGAGCACCCATGGAAAATGTACAGACGAGAGGGCTGCTCAAGAGAGCGGGACTCACTGCACACAGCAACGGGCCTCAGACAGGAGCACAGGGCCTGTTGGCATCCAGGGCACTCAGGAACCCCTGCCTGCCTCTCCATCCCCAAGTCCTTCTTTGGCTATTTTGGACTTCTTCCAAATCTTCCAAAATACCATGTGCTCTCTCTGGACTCCATACCCTCCCACATTCTGTGCTCTTTGCCTGGAAATGCTTTTCCCTGCCCTCCTAACTATATTCATCTTTTACCTCTTATCTTAGACCTCACTTTCTCCAGGAAGCCTTCCCTGAGCTATCTCTACTCCAAAGGCTCGCAGGCCTCCCCTTCCAACCCACACTAGATGTGCTTGTCTTCCGCTGTCTGGCTTCACCATTAGCCTGTCAGCTACAGGAGGGCGGAGCCCTCATCCTGGGGCCTAGAAAAGCGCCTGGTTCATAGTGTTGCTCAGTGAATGTTGCTTGATGAATAAATGGATGCTGGAATGAGTAAACACCCCAGGTAATAGTGCTAGAGCCACACCTCATGCCCCTCTGGAGCCCACAGCCCGTCAACACGCAGCCCAGAGGCTGTGACTGGGCAACATTTCCTGCCCCCAGATGCCCCAAGGCCTGCTGATGGTCTCGGCAAATTCCCAGGGCCTTCTCTGCATCAAGCGCCAGTCCACCCATGCTGTTTGCTTCATTCCACACCAACCTGAACGTCGAACTCATCCCGTTGTTCCCTCACCACCCTTCAGCTGAGAATTTGAGAGCTCGGCAGTGTGACTAAAGATCTAGATCAAACAGGTGTCGCAGCCCCGAGTAAAGACCACCTGCCCCCTCCCAGGCTCTGGTCTCTCTCTTCTCTTAGTGGAGCACTGCAGCTGAGGGGATGGGTTCTGGATCCTGGCACCACCACTGATGAACACTGGTGGATTTATCTAAACTCCCTGAGTCTCAGTTTCCTCATCTGTAAAATGGGCTTAAGAGCAACACCAACTTCATAGGGTTGTCACGAAGAGTAAATGCAGCAACAGCCTGGCCCACAGTGAGCATTAAGTGAATGTCACCTCCTGACAGTGTTATCCCTCTCTCCTACCCTCTCCTAGCCTTCCTCCCTCTCTGAGGAGATAGAGAAATGTCTCTCCTTCCTCAGGAGGCCAGCCATCATTTTTGTTGCCTCAGACCCCCTTAGGGACCTTACTGTACCACAAGCCATTTATCAAAGTGTTTCTTCCAAAGATAACTCTCTCCCTAAGAAGACTTTTCCAAATGAAAATTTTTCCATCTCATTACACACACAGCCTGTTTGTTGAACTGATATCATCATTGCTATATACTTCGCATTGCACTTTTCATTATTTGTGTGGTCCTGTGACAACCTGGGAGTCAGGACTCATTCATTCACCTCATTCATTCACTAGTTTGACAAGTGGATACTGAGCAGACCTTAGGGTGCTGAGTGGATATTTAGGATAAGGCCCTCAGGTGGCCAGGGATGCAGAGCTAAGGCTGACCCAAGCCACAAGGAGCTCACGGGCTTATGGGGAGACAGACTTGCAAACAGGAAATGCTGTTTGCACCAGCAATCGCAGTTCCAGTGTACTCCTAAAAGAAGGGAAAGCAGGGACTCAGCAGACACTCATACCCCCATGTTCACAGCAGCATTATTCACAGTAGCCAAGAAGTGGAAACAACCCAGTGTCTACGAATGGATGGATGAACAAAACACGGTCCATCCACACAATGGAATGTTATTCAGTCTTAAAAGGAAGGAAATTGAGACACATTCGACAACATGGATGAACCTTGAGGACATTATGCTAAGTAACATGTCAGTCACAAAAGGCCAAATACTGTATGATTCCACTTATAGTAGCTGCCTAGTGTAGGCAGAAGGAGACAGAAACAGGAAGGAGAATAGCGGTTGCCAGGGGCTGGGGAAATGGGGAGCTATTGTTTAATGGAGACAGAGTTCCAGTTTTGCAAGAGGAAAAGAGTTCTGGAGATGGACGGGGGTGATGGCTGCATAACAATGTGAATGTACTTAACACTACTGAACTGTACGCTTAAAAATGGTCAAGACGGCAAATTGAAAACCGAAAACTGCTGACCTAAGGAATGGAGTCTGTAATCAGGAAAAGGGCCATGGAAGCCCAGAGGAGCAGTGAGCACCTGCAGAGAAGTCTCCCAGCAGAGGGGACACGTGAGCCGAGTCCCACGGGAGACCAGGAACTTGGGAGGTGCTGGGAGAGGGAGGAGAGAGCAAAGCTTTGAGCAGAGGCAGGACTTGCACAGGCACGGGCCTGGAGAAGTTCAGGGAAGCTGGCGGGAGCTGAGGCGGAGGCAGCACGTTGCCTTTCGACAGAAGAGGAAACTGAGGCCTGAGAGGGAGTGAGCTGCAGTGCCGCACCTGAACCCAGGCCACACCGCCCCTGCTCCCTGTCCTTCCCGAACGCTGCAGTGGAGACAGCTGTCCCCGTCCTCATCACAGGTGCCGTGTCATGGCATGTTTCATGATGGCTCTGTGTCCTTCCCCTTCTCAGGCCACATCTCGGCGATGGGCACCCCCTTCTCAGCACAGAGGTGGGGGTATAGAAAGTCATCTGGAGGGGCGGCAGGGAGAGCACAGGGAAACTCCTGCCAGTCTCCATCTCGCACCACAACAGCCGAGGGCCCGCACGGAGACCCGACGAGCCCATCAGGGAGACAGCGCCCTCAGGTCCATCATATTTGATAACGAGGTCCCATTTCCCCTCACAAGGAACCGCACAGTGGAAAGCCTATTGGGTGCTGTGCACATCTGGGTTGTTTGGGACCTCAGAGATGATCCACGCAGCCCCTGCCCCAGCCTGAGTCATGACAGGGCTGTCACTCCCCACGGGCACACGTGACATCGTGGACGGAACAGGGCAGGCACTGAGATCTCAGGAGCCTCCTCTCTACCAGGGCTGAGGGAGGATGCCCTTCTCCAACACCAGAGACTGCAGAGGTCTGGCCACACTACCACCCACCTCTGCCAGGAACCCCAGGGCCGCACCCTTCTCAGGAGAAAAGGTCCATGATGCCACCTCACCCAAGATGCCTGGGAGCCTCCAGGGTGCAGTCCACAGCCCACGGCTGACAGACACAGGGAGGGGGCGAGGAAAGCCTGGTCCCGGCCTCACGATGAGACTAATTCTGGTCAAGTCAAGCTTAGGAGCAGAGGCCACCTCTCTGCCCGGGTCTAGCCGGCTCCTGCCTGTCTCGCGCCCTCCAGGTTTCTCCTCTGAGCTCTGCTCAGGCTCTGGGCATGTGATCAGGCTCACATGCTGAGTCGGGGGCGCCTGGCTGAGTGGGAGGTGACCCAAAGCCACTCGGGCCTGTTTTCTCTATTTGAAGACAGGGGAGGAGAGGCTTATCTCCATTATGGACTCTGAGCTCCTGGAAACTTCTCATAACTCAGAACCTAGATCAGGGCATTTAAGTCCAGACTAGGGTGCAGAAAATGTCCGTGGTTGCCTGTGATTGGCTACCTGGCTCCAAAGGAGGGGGCGCTGCTCAGCCCAGTGGTTAGAGCACCTGCTCTCGTAGCAGCCCCAGCTAACGGGGCTCCCTTTCCCAACTCCAGCCCCCAGGTAAGAACACCTGCACAAACAGCCACGCTCCTGAGTAAACCGCAGCCCACTCCCAGTTTTTTTCCTCAGAAATTTCATTTTCTCAAGAGGAGTTGCTTAGTACTAAGAATTTATTGGCTGGGAAGGTCTGTGTCTTTATGAATGGGACACTGTGCAGTGTTTAGTTTCCATGGATAATGAGTGAATGATTGTTTTTCTTCCTTTCGACCCACAGATCTGAATATTCTAATTTTAACACA